AGAAAGCAGGTGAGCTCTGGGCATGCAGCCCAGCCAGTCTGTCAAATTTCTGCGTCCCGTTGTCAGATCGCTCCGTGCAGGACTTGCTAAGCCTTCAAAACTTTCCTGAGTCCACACAGCTCATTGACTTTAAATTAATTGCACTGCCAACATATAATGCTCGTTCGGGTTCACTATGTGTCCTTGGATTTGGGTTTTATCCCTGTGTTTACTCTGAAATTACACTAATTGTTCCGCTTCTATCTTTAATGTCTCTTTGTTTGAACAGCAACCACAGGAAGTTTGATTATGGTCTAAAGTCACATCGGTGCCTGTTCTGCCTGACTCTGTGCCACTGAGTAAGTCCCAGGTTTGCTCTCCGTTCACACGGGGCCGAGACACCCCGGGGCGCAGGACAGGGCTTGTTGCGGTGGCATTGCTCTGCAGAAGGACCCACCGGCACCAGTGCAGCTCGGCACTGATGTTTGGTGTCCGAAGGGCTCAGCTGCGTCACTCCTCGCTGAAGCTCTTCTGCAAAACAAGCACTGCGGCCTGAACTTTCAGCATCTTCAGGGCTTGTATGCGGATGCTGTAAATTATCTCGATTTTTCAGTCTTTTGGAGGGAGGGCCAGAAGGGAGGACAGAAGCCTTCCAGATGCTTAAAGCGCTTGGTCAGTGAAGGAGGCCAGAAGGAGATGGGGTGGGTTAGTCTAGGAAGACTTGGGTAGAGAAGACAATACCGGGCTTCAGACAGATAAATACAAGGCAAATGGAAGGGCTGTTCCCCATGTCCACTGTGGATAGGACTACAGATAAGAAGTCAAAACTGCAAGTAAGGAGATTCACCTCAGACACCATGAAAAAATTAATGTAAGTAAAGCCCTAGAGAGAAAGTGATGGTTCTGCAACCGCTAGTGCTGGGAATTAAACAAGCAAAACAGCTTAGAGAAGTGTTTGCACAGGGTGTTACAGGTATGGCTGCTTTTGAGGCACAAGTGGGCTTGGCAGCTTCTTTAGGTCCTTCCACTCTACTTCAGGTGAGTCCATGCTTCAAACATCTGCAGTTCTTCAGACACGCCCAATTCTTTCCTGGTCCCTACAGCCAACCTATGCCAGATCAGCAGACTTGCTCTTCCAGGAGAGGTGTATTTATGTATTTTTTCACTCTGAATTTCCCGTCTCGAAAGCCTCCGCGTGCATGTTGCAGAGGTGATAAATGTAACCGAGCTTTTCCTTATAGTAGTTATTTTATTTATTCCCCTCGTTACTTTACCACTCCAGAGAGTTAGCAGAGACCGGCTTCGTGACTGAAATTCGTCCTCAGTCCAGAGCTGCTGGACGCAGAGCAGGTGCCCTCTAAATTCCAACTTCAAATACCCAGCCCCGGTAAGCCTTTTGCATGTGGTCTCTCTCCAGCAATACCACCCAAGCAAGAGCCACTCTGAAGCTACCAGGTGGATGCAGTATTTTCAGGGGAGCTAACCAGCAGTCTAAAACCATATCGGTACATGCTTTTCTCTGGCTAAACTTCTGGCTCCTCTGTGCTGCATTGTATAATGCCTTAAATTTCACAACTGTTGTATTATGCTGATAGCACTCTCACCAGAGAAACACTGTTCTGCTCTCCTGTGAAAGAATAAGTGACTAGGAGCTCTCCTAAGAGCATTTAATGTGCTTCAAGTTCTTTGCAAGAGAAAGCATACCTAATTTTAGTTTAAATGGATGTTAATTTGACGTGTGGATTTGAATAACTGAGATAAATTCTTGGCTTTTTGACATTAAAATATATTAAGTGACAAATGCTTTTTGCATCCTGTTATTTTCTGAAAGGTTCTTTTTGTCTATAGCATCTAATGATAAAGCTCTAAAGCGTAAGAGTCCTGAATTTGCGGGAAGTTGCACTGAATGGTCTAATAATTTTCATCTCTGGCTTACATGGTAATAATAGAATAATAAGAAGAAAGGTTGCAAAACGTTCCTACCCTGGCTGAATCAGCTGGCTTTTTTTATGGGCTGGTTATTCATTGATCAATAAATATTCATGCATTTTTCAGGAAAGACATAGTGCATAATTTGTCTTGAGCAAAATTAAACAGGACAGGCAGCCTTATCCTACAGCAGATCACAAAGGACTGAACTTGAGTGACAGGCTTGAGTGACAGCCTAAGTATGCCTGACAGTTGCAGAAGTCATCAGATTCTTCAACAGCAATTGTAAAGGCTTCTTACATTGTGTCCTTGAGCCTTTTCAGTGTTAAAATCCCATATCGAAGGAGAATGAGTTACTAATGCTACCATATCAGAGAAAAATTCAATAGCTGGTTTGACTCAGATCAGTACTTTCCACTGTTGCTCTTGTCCCCCACGCTCCTGGATGTACAGAGGGTCAAGTGTAGATTTGCCTCTAGACCAGCCTTTACAGCTCAGTCTTCGAAAACGTGAAGCATCTGTGTTCAGTTCCGCAAGAGGAAAGAAAAACTGCAGTTCCTGTGCCACAGCTCAGCAGAAGGCACTGGCTCTGTACTCACGCCACATAAAATATTGCTAAATATTGACCACGTGTTGCACTGCAGTTATTGAGGATTTTCTATTAGAGGCTCCTGTACCTGCGCTGGCAATAGGAGCTCAGCAGGTGAATAATATTCCCAGTCCCTGGGTGCACCCTCTCCTGCTCTTACACACACACACACACATATATACTCACACTGCTAAATGTATTTCCCCCTTGCTGAGGGACTTGCTGCCAACTTTCCCTCCAGCTTGCATCTTTTCCCACATGCTGCTGACTTCTGTAATCCCTCCCACTCCCCTCCCCATCCTCTGCCCATGTCAGCAAGGCTGACGCCAAAGCTGCTCTCAGCCAGACAGTGGATGGAGGGGGGTCTCCCGAGGGGGGTAAATGTTCCCGTCACGCTCCTGAGAGCAGCGGGAAGTTAAATGGGAAGTCAAAGCCCAAACCTGGTGGAACAGCATGAGTTGTCTCATTAAGACTCAGGAGTGTTAACTATGACTCTTAAATATGGGGGATCCGAAGGTTATAATTTATCAGTGCCTTATTTTGGCACTGACTCAGTTGATATAAACTGCACTGAGTTAGGTGAGTTGTTCTGAGCTCCAGAAGATGATCTCAGCCATTAAGCCCTCACCTTCTTGTGGCTTTACCCACCCACATGCCTCCTGGTGACAGGCCAGGAAATCAGAGGTTTACCCCATTCCTCAGGCTACAGGACCTAAAAAGAATAAATAATGTCCTGAAAACCTAAGCGCAATGGCTTTAAAGCAAATCGCATTTAAAAAACCCTACTCTGATTTACTCCAAGAACTAGAGCTGTTATTTCAGAGAACTGGTTGAAGCGCAGCACTGCTTTAATAACGTATCCACATCAGTATACGTGGCTTTCCACATGTTTCTGAGCCTAGCAGAACAATTCATGCTTTTCCCCTGTGGACAGTGGCATCCCTGGAGATAGCCTCTCTCTCAGAACCAAAGGCCTCTTCCCAGGTCAACCTTTCATACTCCTTGATGTTTTTTTTTCACCTTCCTGGAGGGCCTCCTCATTTTCCCAGAGAGCTCTCTCCTCTTCAAGGAGAGCTGTTTCATCTGCCCACAGAGCTTCTTCGTCTGCCCATAGGACTCTGTCCTCATCCAGAAGGACCCTGTCTTTCTCCCAGAGGAGCTTATCTCCTTTCCAGAAATCCTTATCCTTCTTCCAGAAAGCATTACAATCCTTCCAGAAGTCACGATACACCATCCAGAAGGCTTCTGCTTCCTCCTGAATAGCCTTTTCTTCCTCCCTAAAGGCAGCTTCCTCCTCCCAGATGGGCTTTTCCTCGTCGCAGAAAGCATGGATGGCCATCTTGAAATCTCTGATGTTTTCCCGAAAGCCCTTGATCTTCTCCCGAAAGCTCTTCATCGTCTCCTGAAACCTCTGAATCTCCTCCAGAAAGGCTTTCTCAGCCTGCAGCTTTTTGATGAGCTTCTGCTGGCAGGAGTTGCAGTAGGGAGAGCAGGACATCAGCTGGCAACGGCAGCTCCAGTTCGCTGCTCGTCACTGATGGGTTGGGCAGAGACCCAGCCCGGCCCCCACCTCTCACCCTGTGGCCCAACAGAGAGGGGAGAAATGGGTGTCAGTGATGACATCACCCAAACCTATGTCATAGCTGGCTTAAAACAATGTTATACCACAAGTGAAGATGTTTACCGTGAGCGAAAAAGAAATCCCTGGCCAGGACTCAGACAGCATGAACTGCAGTGGCACCTGACAGTCAGCCTGTGCCATGCAGGGCGAAGGCTGGGATTTCTCTAAGTCATTTCCCACCGTGACTCCAGGTGCCGCTGGCTTGGAGAGGGGTGAGGGGCTGTGCCAGGACCAGCCTTTGGCACTGCGCTGCTCCCCCCGGCCCCGATCAGTGGGTCCCAATCTGAAGGACAGATACCTCTGCCCTTTTCCCTCCGGTGCTTGAGGCACTCTCACCTCTCTGACCCTTGGCTATGTCTCCTGCCCCTTCACAGACTCCCCCCAAAAATTTACAGCTTCCAGAATCACATGAAACTTGAAAAATGAAGAGAAAACAAAAATATAATTTTCTGTTCACTAATCTACCTAATAATTCTACAGCTAGGACTAAGCTGGTTACTTACTTATACTGTTTCACTAGATTTATTATGACTTATTGCACAGTGCCTCCAGCTCCATAGCAGGGAGCAGGTTGCCTTATAAATAAAAACCTCTTGATTATTAATATATTATGAGCCTGCCTATCCCTTGCTGTAGTCAGGAAAGGCCCCAGGGGCCTTTGCGGATGCAATGCAGCTAATGGCAATATGCACCTGCTCTGCATGAGGAACAAGAAGGCGGGGAGCACACCATGCCTGCATGACAGCTCCAGCGCATGGTGACAGGATGGACAGACAGCCCAAGCTGCAAGACCTCCCATGCACCCTGGCAAGCACGCTGCCCCTCAAGCCCCTTCACCCACCAGCGTGTGACACCGCCATCACACCTTTGCTGTGCTGGAGGCATAGACCCTCCTTGTCTCAGGCTTCCTCCCTCCTCAAAAGCTGAGCTGGGCGCTGGCAGGGCCCTATCCTCTTCCCCAGTGTTTTGCGTATGGCCAAGGAGTCTTCTAGTGACATCTGGCCAACTCCTGCCTCTCCCCACCTCTGCAGTCACTGAACAGGCCAGAGGGTGGACGGCTCCTTCACAGCAACTTGGATGAGCTCTCACGGATGGCAAGCCCCAGGGGGGACCTGCTGGGGGACTTTGGGTGAATACAGGAGAATTTTGGTTCTGCTGTTTCCTCCTCACGCTGCTTCCTGACTCCTGAACCTTCCTCCCACAGCTGGGGCTTCCCTGGGAGGTCGGAGGGGGCAAAAGAGGAAGGCAGCCATCTACAGCTTCACTCTCATGGAGCTCCTGGGCCCACCAGTTTGTCCCTGCTCAGTGTGAGAAGGACCCCAAAAACAAGTGGTGTGCACTCCCAGCTGGACTGTCTCATCTCGGGGGGTTAGTGGTACCATACTACGTGCCTAGAAGGACAGAAATATTAGGTGAGTAAATGTGCCAAAAACTAATTGCCAGGAGCCTGTTATTACCTGAGTTTCAGAGCAGCTGCTGAAGCAGCAGCCATTTCTTCTCCACCAAAGGGGTTCCTGACATGGGCTCCGCTCTCCCTGCACTTTCTGTGGGGCTCCCGGCTTGGCAGTTCCTCTTCATTCACAGCAGAAATGTCAGTAAATAGGACGTGCTGAGTTTCTGCTCCCTGGGATTGCAGTTGGAAGCAATTAGGGCAACGGCAGTTCAGTTCCAGCCATCCCTGTAAGCTGCGGCAACGGCTGCCAGCCCATTAGCAACCTCAAATACACTGTCTCTTCTTTGAAATGAAGGTATTGTTGCTTCTACTTAGCAAATTTTGCCATGCTCATTAGCCTGGAACATATTAATGCTATTTTAGGTGAGGTCCTCTGCAGCCTAGGTAAGTTGTGCACATATCCAGTGTCCCACTGCACTGCATGGGCTCTGACGTAGCCCTGCTCAACCCAACACTTGCACTGCTGCAGGTGGTAGGAAACCATATGGGCTTTCACTCTGCCCAGTGTTACTGTTAGCAACATGAGGATGAAGCAGCTTTCAGATTGTACGCTACGATACCTTTCCAAAACCAGCCAGAGGGCCATGTGGAGGACATAAATGCTTACAAGTCAGTGTTGGTGTTGCAGCGGAATCAAAGAGCCAGAGCTAATGTGCTGTTGTAGCAGGCACAGGGATGACTGTTTGACAGAAGGACAGTCCCAGAAACCTATGTGCAAAAATGGGATCTCCTATAGCTAACCCGCAGGGAAACCACAGGTGATCATGTCCTGTCCTGCCCCGTGGATCCAGAGCCTGAGCCTGTCCTGGAGGCAGACTGCCCTGCACAGCAATTTCAGGCTGGTTTCTTTGCAAAAGAAGACTTGCACTTGAAAACATGGCAGAGGAGGAGCAGCAACCCAGGGCAGGGAGAAACAAGGAGTCGTTTCTTCTTCCCTCCTGCCCTGCCAGGGTTCAGCTGGAAAACTCCTTAGAAAAACAAATTTCCCTCTGACGTGAAGGAAGCAACCCAGGTGCCTAAACAGAAGCATCCAGTGTCATTTTAGACACTCAGAAATGTATAACCTATCTGCAGATGGTCTGGCAGAAGATAACACATAAGAGACCTATGTCCTTTGGGAGCTGCAGGTGGAAGCTGGGGGAGATATCCCAACGCATACCAGGGCATGGGGCACCCACGTGTACGCGTGAGTCCCGCCTTGAAGTCTGTCTCTGGTTTATGTGGCTAAAGCTTCCTTTGGATCCTGCCCCAAGGGGTTACCAGACCAAATCAGGAAATCATTTTGCTTTTGTGAGGCTTCTGTCTCCTGAACATGCATCAAGTGATACAAATAAAACTTTGAGAGCTGTTTCTCACATGGTACGGTAAAAATATTCCTATTTGTTCTTTTACTGCACTCCTGAGGCAAGCTTAAAAAAATGTAGGATAATTATGTCAGACTACATTTTTCAATTAGAACATCATTATCTCACAGAAAATGACTAAATTATATAATTTTTTTCCACAAATC